AGTCAGCCTCCGTAAAGATTTACAGCCTTGGAAACCCTATGGGGCAGTTCTACTCTGTCCTATAGAGTCACTATGAGTCGGAATCGACTGGATTGCACAGGTTTTTTTTTTTAATCTACGGGCCTGGGCCTGGGGAGTAGAAATACAAGGAAAAGAGACACACATTCACATCCAAAGAATTGTCCTGCTACTCATCTGAGAAGCTTCTCCTCCAAACTAGGCTCTGTCCTAAGCTCTGTAGGCTCACTGTTGCACTTCTGAGCAGAGAACATTGGGATAGCACAGGAGCGCGTAGCTGGCCTAGACAGGTCAGAAAAAAGTTCAGAGGTGGAAGTGTTGGAACGGGAGTGTTGGAGGAAGAGGGGCATTTACCTTGTGGGCCGAAGGCTCTTCTAGCCAGAGACCTGCAGTTGTGGGGATTGTGGAAGAGGTGTCTAGAAAGTATGACAAAGGAGCGTCACCAACTGAAAGCAAAATGGCTTATTTCTTCAAATTTGAACTGGAACCTACAATGGGACGTGGAACACGGAGGGCCCAACTTTGCCTGGGGGAGTCAGAGAAGGAAGGTTTCACGGTAGAGGCAATATCTGAAGGAGACTTGAAAGATGTAAGGCTGGAAGGGCGTTGCAGGCCGACACAATGGGTGGAAAGCTACAAAACTTGGAGAGGATGTGGTCAAGGGGACACGTGGGGGCAGGTGGTGAGAGGGAAGGCTGGACAGCGGCAAAGCTGGATCATAAAGGGCTCTACAGTCATGCTAGGGAATCTGAATTTTGTACTGTGGTCCTTAGGCATCTAATGCGGGCTCTCCCACTTCAGTGAGCATCAGAATAGCCTGGAGGGCTTGTTAAAATGGACTGGCTGGCTGCCCCCGGAGTTTTGATTCACTAGGTCTGCAGTGAGGCCAGAGACTCTCATTTCTGATGCGTTTGCAAGGAATGCTGATGCTGTTGGTCCTGGGATCCCACTTTGAGAACCACTTCCCTAAGGGAAGGCCCCTGTGCCAAGTGTAGACTCCAAGGTTCAGCCGAATAGATACATTTAGGGGAAAAATTCACCTAATGTGTCAGTGCACTGGCCCCAGAAACCCAGCAGGACTAGGTCAGGTGATCACAGTCTGACAGCTTCAGAAGAAGGGTCGGGAGGCTCGGATCAATGAATAATTATGGGCAAAGCACAACAAGTATGTAATTTTGAGCAGTTTCCGGTTTCACACCACAAAAACAACAGGAAGCTTCTTGACCAAAGGAAAATAGATATGCATAAAGCTTCCAAAGACTCTTTGCTTACATTCAGTGCTCAGTTTCTAAGAATTAGACCCCCAGCTCCCTCTTGTTATCAACGAAATGCTGATGTTGCCTGAGCCCGTGGCCCAAGCAGAATCAGTCTGGGCTGGTGGGATGCCTTTGACAGATGAATCAGAGGGAGTCTGATAGAGCTCTGTGTGCTGGTGTGAGGGGGAGGCCCTGTCAGGACAGGCAGAGGGCTGGACGGTGAGACCAGGCCACCCAGGCTTCTAATGCACTGACTGATGGGGCGCAACCCAACAGGGGAGAAATCCTGGTGATGCCAGTACTGGTCTGTATGAAATCATTTTGCCCCGGGGACCTATTAGATGTGCAATTCTTCTCCTTTTTGTCAGTGAGACTCTGGCTAGGTCCCCTTTGATGTCATGAGTTGGACTGAAGACTCGAGATTCCTATGCAGGCCCCCCCCATCTCTGCATGTCTCATGCCTTGTGCGGAGAGTCTCAGTGATGGATGAAATGCCTGAGAACCGGTAAGCCGTTCTGATCTGGGTCTGGGAGATAGTGTTCAGTCCAAGCAGTATGTGAAAGTGTGAGGAGGATGTGTACCTTTTTTTTCTTTTTTTTTTAGTGCCATGGGGAAAAAAGTGCTTGATTTTTATTGCAAAGTGAAAAAAATGATACAGAACTTTATGTACACCACGATTATAATTGTGACCTCCAGAGTTACAGTCTTGCTCTTATTCTTTCTTGATTGAATCTTGACCCAGTTCGTAGCTAACTGCCCACTCTATCTGAACTCTTTCTGAATGCCCCAAGGACACCTAACACCCCAGCCAATGATGCGTAAGACTGAATAATCTTTGGTCAATCTGCCTGTCCCCACTGCACCCTAAACTATATATGCACTTTCTCCTCCAGGATAATGGGGTCACCCTTCCCCAGGCACTGTATTTTGAATTCCTGAACTATCATTCCTCTACCAGTCAATTGCCAGATGGAATCAGATCTGCCTTCACAATGCTCTTTCTTTTCCACGCAACCCAGTCCCACTCTAGTTTGCCTCCTCCCCATCTTTTTTTCTTTACTGGTTTTTACAACAGCCTCCTGAACTTCCTCCCTGCCTCCAGGTCCCTCAGCCCTTCTCATTTCCCCTTCTCCAAGCTCAGCCTCAACTATATGAGGTCGAAAGTTCTTAGATCCTATCACTACACTGTATTAACTTTCATGTGCCTGCAAAACGGATTCCAAATTCCTTAGTGTTGGGATGTTGGATCAGTCATCTCAATACGGTCCTGCCACTCCCGATCCCCCAACCTAGCCCTCAAATGCCTGTTCAGTTCTGTGATGCCATCCATCCAGACTCTGCCCCCAGTGAATACCGGACACTCCTGCCTCATCCCTGCAGTATTTCCTAATGCTATTTCCTTCACACAGAATGAAATTTACCTTTGTTTCCTTCCTTCCCTAAAAGGCCAACTTGTTCTTATTCCCCTTTTCTTATTTGATCCTGACAACCTTTTATGTTCACTAATATTATGACACTGCATGTGGTTCCAGACTACAGCTGCTTCATTGTGCACATATGTCTGCCTCCCTTAGGAGTGTACACGCTCATTGAAGGCAGGAATCCTCCATTTTTCATCTGTGCCCTTCCACCTACCCTGAGGACACAAGGCCCCTGCAGGTCTGAGCATTCCGACTGACCCTCTCCCCAGTGCCTGGGGCGCCGGTCGCGGTGGAGTCAGCCCCGGCTCCCGGCGCCTCGTGTGTAACAGAACCAAACATTGCCCTGTCCTGCTCCAGTAAGGGCCATGTTGTTGGTAGTTGCCATGTAGTTGATTCTGACTCATGGCGGCCCCATGTGTGCAGAGTAGAATCGCACTCCATAGGGTTGTCAAGGCGGTGACCTTTCAGAAGCAGATCACTAGGCTTGTCTTCTGAGGCACCTCCGGGTAAGTTCAAACCACTAGCCTTTCAGCTAGTAGTTGAGTGCTTAACACTTTGTGCCACCAGGGAATCATAATAGGTGCCCTCCAAAACCAAAAACCAAACCCACCGCTGTTGATTCCAACTCGTAGCAACCCTATAGGACAGACAAGAACTGTCCCACAGGGTTTCCAAGACTGCAAATCTTTACGGAGGCAGACTACCACATCTTTCTCCCACAGAGCGGCTGATGGATTTGAACCGCTGACCTTTTGGTTAGCAGCTGAGCGCTTAACCACTGCACCACAAGGGCTCCTTAATAGGTGCCACAAACCAAAACCAAACCAAACCCATTGCTGTCGAGTCAATTCCAACTCATAGTGACCCTATAGGACAGAGTAGAACTGCCCCATAGTGTTCCCAAGGAGCGGCTGGTGGATTCGAACTGCCAACCTTTTGGTTAACAGTGGTAACTCTTAACCATTGGGCCACTGGACTCCGTAGGTGCTATAATGTTGTTAGATTAGTATGCATACTATCGGTTCCTCATTGGGAAGGCCTTACATACAGCACTAGTTCAATGCCTTGCATATATTGGTCATTCAATAAATGATGGCTGTTATGATTATGGGTGTTTTAATTCCCTACTGTGCTTTACAGAGGAAGCATTCGAGCAATGTTTAGCCCAAATCAACCTAATGATGTTTCCGGTTTTCTAGCTGGAATATTTAAAAGTTCTTTGAGGGTTAACTATTCACTCTACTTGGCTCTAGGATTGATTTTAGGGATGTATTTCTTTTTTCAGTTTTAAGATAAAACTGAGTGTTAATAGATAAATTACAGATTATCTCCGATGTTACAGGCATCTATAGCAAAACATTTCCTCTTCTATCTTTAAGAACTTGTAAAACAACCCAAATAAGAGACAAGGTGATCATGCCCCGTTACTGTTTGCTGAGCCATACCTGAGAAGGTAAAAAGCGAGTGTCTGGCTTTGCCTCCCAGGCCCAGCCTCCCGGTGCATTCTCACTGTAGGTGCCAGTCACTGGGGAGGGAGGAGTGGATTCTGGGATGTAAATACCACTTTAATAGGGAACCTGGATTCCTGCTTCTAATTTGCTTGGCTTCTGTCTAGTGGGAGACTGTTCAATATTATCTGCTTTTATGCACACCTGACCTGGGACTGTTTTGAACCACTGACCTAGAAATGACAGATTCGATAATCCATTTACAATTCCCACAAGACCTTCTGTCTCTCCCCACAATTTGGTTCCAGGCTTGAGCCAGAGGGAAAAGTCTCCACCTCTCATCCCCTGGAGCCAGATTTGAAGGAAAACCTCAAGGTGAAGGGCTTCAAATGACATCATCGGGTTTTGAAGCTTTTTAAAAATAAGTTTGTATTTTTCTCTCTTCTTGAAGAGAAAGATTTAAAACCTCCTTGGTGGCCAACAGTCTTTCCGGCTGTCTCCTTTCCTGATATTCTGGCGTGTAATTAATCTCTCTTTCAGCAAAAGAACTGAGACAGTCTGCATGGTAGATGCTATACTTGTGTGCTTTACTTTATTACAAAATGAAGAGAAATACAGCTTTGCCTTATGCAACAGATGTTTATGTCACTGAGCCTTTAAAATGAATTATATTTTAAAATGTATTAGAAGAGCTACAGATTTAAGGGACCCTCGACAGAAGTTCCTTATTAAAGTGAAGACATTTTCAGGCATTTTAGATTTTTTTTTAGAGTGGGGCATAAATACATAAATAAAAAAGCAAACGTAGTGACAAGTAGGCATAAAAGAACACTGAAATGCATATGCGCCTCGGTTCACAAGCACCTCTTAATGCCCCTGTTTATATATATTTTAAGGACTCGCCTTTTTTTATTATGCGCTATGAATTTCTTTGTTCTCCCCACTCCCCCTAAATGCAGCCACTCCCACTCTCTCCATATGATGTATAAGGTACAGGAGAAATAATGATGGATTTTTTCAGCCATCACAAGGCTAGTCCAAGGTTTCAGCATAAGGCTGAAAAAGAATCAGATGAATAAAATTGCTGCCTTTGGTTTTGGGGTGGGGTTGGAGACAATGAAAGGTAGAAGAGGGATGGCAATCTACGTTTGGTATTTCTCTTCCATGATTTATAAATCCCTCGAGCATTCAGGCATACAGTGAGAATGGTTTCTATTAGAGTTTTCAGTTTTTCCTCTGAGGATATCCAGAAATTAATAAATGAAGCTGGTTAGCTTCCAAGAATAAACAAAAGAGATCAGTGCATAACATGGATTTTCCCTATCGGTGAATACCATTCTAACAGTATGTTTACTCCCTTTGGTCCGTACGTGGTGGCAGAGCTGGGGGATTGAGCTGGCTGACCAACTGCCAGAACAGCCTAAGCCCAGGTTGTGGGTCAAGATCAAGAAGACACTCTCCGCAACAACAATGGAAGAGACTTTATTGAGTCAGAGTTGCATTCATATATTAGCTCCAGTTTAGTTTATAAAAACCCCAGGCATTCGGGAAGGGACTTGACACAAGGAAATGACCTATGCTAACTTGAGACACTGCGTGTTAAAGCTGTCTCCTTCCTTGAGAGCGACGGCCTCCAGCAGCGACTGCTTCTTCTGCATACTCCGGGAGGACTCCAGCTCATACATGGTCGTCAAATTGAAAAGCACGCTCTCATGCAGGTAGTGCTTAGGATCCTGCTGTACCATTGCTTCCAGCTGCCGGAGGGACTCCTTCAGCTTCCCCAGATAGAGCAGACACACGGCAGCATTGTTATTAGCCTAGAGAAGCGGAGCACGTGTGCAGAATTAGAACAAAGAGATCACATATTAGAAAGACGTCACTCGCCATCAATTCAGAACCATCTTTGTTTATTCCCGAATGGAGTCCTGGGTCCTACGCGTTGGGACTGCCATTCTTGGTGCCGAGGGGCTGTTGCACAGGGGCGGCAGCTCAGGCAGGCCTGGAAACCCTCCCCAGACAATCACTACAACCGCGTGGTGTCAATGGGCTTGATAAAGGCCAGCAGGTGTTATTCTAAATTTGTTTCCACGTACATCTCTGAGATGCTGAGGCTGAGGATCCCAGGGTTACTGACTGTATATGTTTCTGCTTGAGAATCTTACCACTGCGTTTGTTGGCTCAATCTGTAAGATTTCTGTGAAGAATCTGTGGGCTTCTGCAAAGTTATTCTGACCGAGGTAAAGGAAAGCTCTGTAATGTAAGTGACGTATAAAGCAGTTAACCAAGAAAAGTCAAGATGCTGGTGTATGCCAACAAAATCGATAGGGTGCCTTAAAAACATGGCAAAGATCTGAACATTTGACATTTGCTCTTCCAAGTGTACTTCTGAGTAGTCTGGGTGCTAATGCTTTCCAGGTGGAGGTAGTGACATTTTAGTTGATTGAACCACATCATATGTTCTGGCTAGCAAATTAAAGCACGGTAAGTCTGACTTTTATTCATTTAGAAATAGTAACTTCACCCAGAACTCTTTCCTGCTATACAGACGGATTCCTTTATTTTTTATTCTTGTGTGCATGCTTTACACTGGGCAGAGACTTGGTCCTAACAAACATCTCATACTGAGCGACACTACTGTTTCCCTCATTAAAGCCGATCACAGAACACCAGAACACGTGAATTCACAGTGGCTGGTCTGCTAGAGACAGTAAACATCTATGCAAATTTATGCTGAAAGCGGGGGCAGGGGGAGGGGGCAATATAAGCAGTAGTTTGAAAAACAAGAGGGGCATCTCCTTAGAATCCATTTTTATGACTAAAAGAACATCAAGGCAATTCAAGAAAACGCCAGCAAACCTCACAGGTCAGCGATTTCTTCAGTCTCAGTTCTGGGCGATACAGAACAAGGACATTCTCTCTCGAGGGCTTTACCACTCAGTAAGTACAATTTAAGCTGTCTTGGGAAATTTGCGGAAAAAAAATGTACATATAGTGTAAAAGTAGATACCTGTTCATTAAAACCATGATTTTACCCTGTAGTCCGTCCAATTTCTGTGTTACTTTCTCAACGTCTTGAAAATACTTCTCAGCCGTTTTTATGTCTCCAATCTACTTTGACAAAATTATTTAGTCAGTTCAGTTAACAAATCAGAAGAAATATAAATCTGTGCCCACATATGTAGTTTCCTAATATTATATTAGAGTGTGAAGACACTTATATGCTAGACAGTTATACTAATAATTTATTATTAGTAAACAGTAACCATTTACTAATCATTACTTTTTGTAAATAGCAGGAGACACTTAAGACACAGCGGAATGTTACCAGTCTATATTTCAGAAACTAAGTTGTTAAGACACATGCCTTATTAGAAAGACTTACAGTTTAGTAGCTTACACTCTTTGAAATAAATACCGGCATAAACCCGTTAAAAAAACCAAAACCGTTGCTGTCGAGTTGAATTCAACTGATAGTGACCCTACAGGACAGAGAAGAACTGCCCTATAGGGTTTCCAAGGAGCGGCTGGTGGATTTGAACTGCCAACCTTTTGGTTAGCAGCTGAGCTCTTAACCACTGCACCACTCTGATACAGTGAGCTCTATATAACAACAATCTTATAAAATATTGTCTTTTTTCCACATAATAATTTCATAACAATAAAACAACTTAAATTTGTGCTTTTTACATCCTAATAAGTAGAGAAGAGCTGAGGGGAGTAGTGACTGAGTAGTACCATTTGACTTAATCACCCTTTTCATTGCACCTCAGTCACTTAAATCCTGCTTCCATTCTCAAACAACTTGTTGGGGAGACAATTCTCCATGGGTTGCTTACATTTCTGTATGTCTTCCAAGCAGAGGCACTGACTCCCTCTGTTCCAGACTATCTTTTCAAGGACATCTGTATGGCAAACAGCCATGGCAGACAGAGATAATGTCTCCCTCTAGAGAAAGGGCAGGCACATTTACTGCCCAGTATAAAAGACTGGGGTTCCCAAGCTAAGGATTACTCCCTGGTAATGCAACCACTGCAGGTATCATGTGACCTTCTTCATGTTACCTTCAGGAAACAGGGTCAGTGTCTGTTGAAAAAAATAATGATACTCTGGCAATGCTGCTGTTGCTGTGAGTAACAAATGTCCATCTCTGACCCAGGAATCTCGTGACTTTTGCCAGAATACATGAAACTGGCAGCAAACTTATTAGCTTGCAAGCAGGGTAAAATCTCAACTCTTCACAGTTCTCGACACTACCAAACAGACAGACACCCCCTCCATACTGTTGTTTTTGTTGTTAGGGGCTGTCAAGTAGATTTTTGACTCATAGTGACCCCATACAACAGAGCAGAACTGCTCCAGAGGGTTTCCTAGGCCGTAGTCTTTACGGGAGCAGATTGTCAGGTGGCTCTCTCCCACAGAGACGCTAGGTGGGTTTGAACTACCAAGCTTTCGGTTTGCAGCTGAGCACTTAACTATTGTGCCACCAGAGCTCCTCCCCCACCATATTAGAAGGGAGAAAAACAAAACAAAGCCAAACATTCAAATAATAAGACATACACACACACAAGAAAACAGAATGCCATTTATCCATTGCTTCTCTTCTACAGAGTTTACAGCAGTTTGGAGTTTTCTACTACAGACTTTATACTTAATTGACTAAAATGAAACCAAGATCAGTGTGGACTCAGCATCATGGCCCTCAGCTTAAACATCTGAATCTCCTGCAATGTGTTCAGTTTAACAGGACAATGTTTCCTACTGACATGAAGACTGTTATAGCCAATAATAAAGACTGATCAAGCCCTTAATATGAGAGCCAGGTACTGAACAGGTGCTAAGTGCTTTAAACACATTAACCCTCATAACCACCCTGTGATGCAGATACTATTATTATCTTCATTTTCTAGATTAAAAAAACAAAAAACAAAAACACCAGGCTCTGAAAGGTTAGGCAATTTTCTGAGGTCACACAACTAACAAGTAACAGACTGGGACTCAGAATCCAGGTCTGTTCAACTCCCAGACCTGTGCGCTGACACTCTATACCATATGGTCTTATAAAGTTAAGACATGCCTTTTACTGAAAATATGTATTTTTTAGTGAAAGATAATAGAAAAATCTTGGTATATTCTTTGCCACCTACCGATCTTCTTGGTGATTAGAAAGTAAGTTTGTATCTTTGTAATTGTTACAATGTAATTAGGATTTAAAATCCTAACAATTTTCTAGTAGTTAGAGACAGCTTAAAAAATTAAATATAAAAAGGCAATTAAAAGAATTGTAGAATATCTAGAAAATAAACTAGTTATTTGAAAAAACAACAACAGAAAAAGTGGATAAACTAATAAAGAAAAACAGCATAAATAAACAAAATTAGAAATGAAAGGAGAAGTAACTATAGGTACAAAGGAAAACTGAAATAACTATCAGACTATGTTTTATACAACTCTATGGAAATAAAGGAAACCCTGGTGGTGTAGTGGTTAAGTGCTATGGCTGCTAACCACAAGGTTGGCAGCTTGAATCTACCAGGCGCTCCCTGGAAATTCTTATCGGGCAGGTCTACTCTGTCCTATAGGGTCGCTATGAGTCGACTCGGAGGCAACGGGTTTTTTGGTTTTATGTAAATAAATGTAAAAATATGGATCAAATAGGTGATTTTCTAGGAAACACTAAATTACCAAAACTGATCCCGTGAACAGGGAAAGAAAACCTCAGACGTAGAATACTAAAGCAGATTAAGGACAATAATAAATTATGAAAACTGATCAGAGTCACTACTCATATCCCTAAAGTGCCTGGCATAGGTATTGCTTAGGTAAATTAGTCCAACCTTCCAGGAACAGAAAATTGCAAAATATTCAAAATTTTCCAGTTAACAGAGAAAGACGAAAAGCTTCTAACTCATTTTCACCAAGGTAGCAAAGGCTTCTGAGAAGAGCACATGTGTGCACATACACACAAACCCGAAGATTAAGTTCACTTACAATAATAAATGCAAAAATCTAAGGAAATATGCCTCCTTGGAATCCCAACCTATTGGTTCTGTCCTTTGGAGTAACAACTCATAAGGGTACTTCCTGTGGCAGAGATGAAAAATGCTCACTATATCTGATTCCCCCCTCCTCCCTGGAAAAGACTTTCCAGCTCTCTGCAGTCAGGTGGAGCCACGGGACTAGGTCTGGCGGAGAGCTGGTGTGTTTTCTCTTCCCTCTCCTGGAGCAGTCTGGAAGCCACACGTTCCTGATGGTGTAGCTACAAGGGGGAAGAGGACTGGATCCCTGAATGGCCACTTGGACGGGAGCTGCCCCACAGAGCTGTTGGGCCCACAGTGCACTATGCATGGGTAAGACATAAGGTTTTCTGATGAAGACACTGAGACACTTGGTTTGTTACCACAGCACAGTCAATCCTAGCTTGACTAATACATTTTTTTTGCCATATGACAGCCTTTCAGATATGTGAAGAGAGCTAAAATTCTTAGTTCTGTCAACTCTTTCTCCTATATCATAGTTTTTTTTTGGATTCTTCACTATCTTAGTTGTCCTAAAGTCATTACAGGTTGTCAACGACCATTTAAAAATGTTTTCAAAACTGCATGTTATACTGTGGTTGTGAGCCGTTCAATGAGAGGGCAGTGAGAACTATTTCTCTCTGTGATATGGGCATCAAATTATTTTAAACACATTCAAAGACACCATAGCTATTTTAACGGCCACATTAGGTTGTTAGCTGACATTAAATTTATAGTCAGTTAAAAATCCCACTTCTTTTCATATTAACTATTGATAAACTTTAGTCACAAACACAGGTCTGAAATTGATGTAGAAAATAATTTAGTCCAAAAATTTATAGGTGTTTGTACATAAAACATTTTTGTATTTTTATCAGAAAAACTGACATGGCCCAAATGGGCAAATCCTCCTGATCAATGTACATAAGGTGATAAAAAAAAGAAAAATGTAATACACTGTACATTATCCCAGTTTTTCTCTTTTGAGGTCTCCTTCATCAACTCCTCTTCCCCTTTTAACCTCGTAAATACAGATGTTCCTGTCTCTAGTCTTGGTTTTCTTCTCTTTCTGTTCACCTGCTCTCTCTCTGAAGGACAGACACTTTGGTCCATTTGGGAATTACACTACATCCATGGAGCGGACTCCTTTACTGAACTCTGCAGACTTACCTATCTTTCATGTTTTTGCAACTGTCTGCTGAATATTGGATCACAACTATGTAGAATAACAGAGATGGCATTTTGTGTCTTTGGCCCATTTTCACAAGAATTATGCAAAATATTACTATTTCCATTTTACTAATAAAGAAACTAAGGTGCAGAGAGGATAAGTGACACAGTTAAGGTCACACAACTATTAAGCAGAATGACCTTAGGCAAATCACTTATTTTTTCTGAGATTCTTTGGGTATCATCTGCTGTATCTATAAAATGTAAGGGTTAGATAATCTCTCTAAGGTCAGAGAAATCACAGAATTTAAGGGCTAAATGGGACATTCCCCGTCCTACCTCCTCTCATTTTATAGATGGGATTAACTATGCTATGCCTTAGGAATTGACGTCATATATCTACCTATCTTGCCCACTCAGTAGTTCAGTGGGCAGGTTTGAAATAAGAACCTATGTTTCTGAGACAATCACTTATTCCTGATATGATACGATATGAAGTACACAGCCCTCCCTACACATGAAGTTTTTTTTTCCACCCAAATATTGAAAATGAATCTTAATAATCTTCCAGTTGACTGGAAATACTGGGGTAAAGGAATTAAATTAAATGTTATCACAAGGAAACAATCAGATAAATCAAGAATGTGGGCCATTCTACTTCCTAATCTCTACCTCATCTATGATCACTACCATCCTACCCTCATCTCTGCAATCCGTGGATCAAGGTCTAATTTTGTGACTTTGGAGACATCTATTTTGAGTGTTCTTCCTTGGTCCTTCCATGTAGAAGTGATGGTGCTCCTCTGAACTTTTAGAGTTCTGTATCATTTGTATGAAAGTTTACTTTTATATTACATTATATATGTCTTTACTCTCCTACATGGTGGATGGGACCTATGTAAGCTCCTTGAGGACTACACTATG